CCGCCCCAGCTGTTCTGCCCCAGGAGTCCAGATTCAGCCGCTGTTGAAACTGATCAGCGGCTGATTCCAGGAAGCTGGGGGCAGAGCAACTCTGCCTAGGGCTTCCTGTAGTCAGCCGCTGATCAGTTTCAGCAGCGGCTGAATCTGGAGCCAGTTCCGACTTACATACAAATTCAACTTAAGAACAAACCTATAGTCCCTATCTTGTACGTAACCCGGGGACTGCCTGTATTGGAAAAACCCCTCTGTTCTTTCGATGTTTTTTCTGAAAGAACATGATTGCAGTGTGGACGTAAGTGAAGTTTTTTTGGAAAAACAGTCATTTTTCCGAAAAAACTCTGCAGTATAGACATAGTTTCAGTGATGATTTTCTATCCTATCCATCCCTCTAGCCTCATTATCCAGAAGTATGGAAACTTTCTGAATTCAGGAAACTTTCATATTTGTATCAGTATAAATTTTTCATTGGCCTTTATTAAAAAGAAGATTGAATAACATAAAATAGTTAACAATAATGTTACAGTAAAGTGTTGGTTTCTTGAGCAGGGATGCCCAAATACTTTTTAAAGAATATCTGGCAAGGTGGGCACTGAGGAATCAGGGAAAGAAAATGATGCACTGTACTTACTTTTACAGTTTACTACCATAGAAAAGGAAATATTTTTCCTCAGTGTCATCTTGTGTCACTTGTGCAGATGAAGTAGTCATCACCACTATGGAGTCCAGAACGTGCATAAAGCTTCTGCCTGTCAGCAGAGTGGGGTATTTTGGTGCATCAGGTTCTTACTTTTCACATAATTCTTTGCTTAGTACACCTAGAGATGTTCTAAGTTATTTCAAGATGACACGAGAAATAAACAGAAAAGTGAATATAAAATATTGCATGCTAGTTCATAAAGGCAGAATGCTATTAGCAGATCTCATATAGCTATGTGTGTGCTAGATAAGAGAACTTAAAAGGGATATATTTCACAAATGAATCTTTATTTTCCTTACTAATTAATAAACATCATGCTGTGAATAACTGGTGATAATGTTCTAATAAGAAAAATCAATAAATTTACACCCAGGGTCACAGTAATTGATGCTTCAGAATAGAAAAATGCATTCTCCATTGATCCTTTAGCAATCTTCTAACTAAAAAGGACAGGAAAGAAAGCCAATTACTGTGGTATGCCTCTGAAAATGATAAGATTAAAACAAGCTAATTATGTGTTCTTGAATAACTACATTTTTTGATGAAAGAAAGTAGAGTAAGGGCATTCTATGTCTCCTGCATGAAGGTATTACTTTTTACTAATTAAAATATAGTGATTTTACATTTAACAGCTCTTTACCAATTGGCAGACAAATAGTTAGAAAAGTCCATCTTAAAAACTTTCCAAGATAATAATTTGAGTGTTGCTGTTAGCAGATGAATAAACAGAAAAATAAAACCAACTCTTAGGCTATGTATACACAGCAGTGTTATTTTGGAATAACATTAGTTATTCCAAAATAATGTACTGCACATCTACAAAGCAAGCCCGTTATTTCAAAATAAATTTGAAATAATGGACTTCTTACTCTGACTCCTGCAACCCTCATTGTATAAGGAATAAGGGAAGTCGGGGGAAGAGTGCTCTATTTCGAAATGACTGCTGCGTAGACAAAGCCAAAAGTCAAAATAAGTTAATTCAACTGAAGCTACAGAATTAGCATAGCTCAAGTTATTTTGAGTATAGCCCTGCTTTTTAGACGTGCCTTTAAACAATAAAAGCACAAATAAATTCACATGTGAACTAGAAAGACTTTTGGAAGAGAACGTCAACCACAGAAAACCACAGAAAATAAAATGCTAGTCATAATTGTCTATTGTCTCATATCTTTGATAGGCATAGATCCTTCAATTGGATTTTCACTGGTGAATCTATGCAAGGACCCCTAAATTCAATGGGGATCCACCCACACAGAGCATAGTGAAGGTTTAAGGCCATAGTAATTTATATGAGGACCCAGTAGGTCTAAAAGGATAAATACCACATCAGAATGATAGTTTTTTGTAATAACATTTCACAAGTGAAAATAGCAAGGTGCAAGACAATGGAAAAATCAGGCCATTTCGTTTTCAGATCTCAAACATGAAGGAAGTACATAGCACTTCTATAAACGTCTTAGATTTTTTAACGTAGAGAATTTGCTTCCTCAGGCATATAGATCTATTATTTTCTCTAATAGACCGAAGTGAAAATCACCAGAAACAAAGTTTGAAAGACCCATTGGTAGCCCCTCCATTACGTGTGGCTCAAACCACCTAACTAGAGCTAGCAATAGCAGTGGTCCCTCACCTCACATGATTTGATTTCTGAATTCTTTTTATTTATTTATTTATTTATTTATTTATTTATTTATTGGGTGGGGAGGGGAGGATGATGCCTAGACCCACAACCCAAGATAACTACTCGTTATTCCTGAGACACAAATGCTGTGATCTCTTGTGAAAATAAATAATGCTATTTCCACTCCTAGAAAGGAATATAAAGCCTAGTACACAAGAACCAAAAATGTATCTCAGCAAAAAACCCCGCAAAGAAATGACATACCCCAAAATTCTAATATCAAAAAAGGGCTTTATTGAAGAAGTAAATAGGATTTGGGGAAGGAAAGGGTTAGATCAATATACTAAATATTAGCAAATCAACAGATCCCTCATCTCCCAGTATTCACAACTCTTCCAAACCTCCAACTCCATCCTTGGCACCTTCCTGGGGTTGAGCCCTGAAAAGAATGCTGGTCAACTTAAACAACAAAATGGGGCCTCTTACACTGATTTTGTCCCTGGGTGGGTTAGGATCCTCTCCTGGGTCCTGATCTGAATTTCTGTGTAGGCCCCAGCTGATTCTTGCACCAGGCTGGATCACCACCAGTCTGGACACTAGTCTCTGGAACATTAGAGCTGGCTGATTCTTGTACTAGCTCCCACAGAATTTCAAAGATACCCTTTTGGTAGTTAATCAGAAAAGCTGCTCTGCTTCTCTCTCAAGGTATATCTAAACTACATCCCTTTTTCGATAAAGGGATGTAAATTAGACTTATTGAAATTGTAAATGAAGCCGGAATTTGAATTTCCCATCATTTATTTACATAATGGCAGCTGCAGCATTTTTTTTTTAAAAAAAGCCACTTTTTAGAAAAAAAACCTCAGTCAAGATTAGGATCTTTCAACAGAAATGCCCTGTTTTGAAAGATCATTTAAACCTAATTTCTGGAAAATTATTGTAAAATTACCCTCTCTTATAAAACTTGTTGGAATTTTCTAACTCCAACTTCTAGACATTGGCTTTTGTTACATTTTTATCTGCTATTGTCAAATTTTGATTCTGCATGAACATCCTTATAGATTGAGATCGTCAACATTTAACTTCGTTTTCCCTTGGGTATATCCTGTCTGACACTCGCTTTCCCCCACTGCCTATTTCCTCTAGCTCTTACTTCACAGTATCCTTGACCAGCTAGTCCCAGTTTCCCATCTCAGTTCTTCAAAGATTTTTCTTCCATTTCCACTGACACCCACTCTCAGTTTCTCTCTGTAAATACCTCAGCCCCTAAATCTCTCTCTCCAGTCTCAGTATACTCTCCCAACCCATTCTGAACTGACTGTGTCTCTGTCTTCACCATCCCATCTCTCTTACCATTTTCCTGTCTCCTCCCATAATTCCCCATCCCAGACATAATCTCGCCTCCCCTCCCCTCCCCCGCCATCAACGCTTAGTCAGAATGTCTCTATCTTTCATAGATTCCTTGAATTTAAATCCAGAGGGGATCTTTTTGATCATCTAGTCTGACAGCCCTATTAGTCCCCTCCCTCCAGCCACAGAGTATTCCATTCTATTTCCATTAAAAGATCATGACAATTTTTTGACATGGCAAAAGAACTTATTTTCCTCAGCATCATTTTTAAAACACACCTCCCCACCCCCACCCCTCCCCACCCCCACACACACACCGTAAGTCAGACACTCAGCCTAGGACATTTCATTCTAAATTTTGCAAAATGATGAGCAACTGTAAACAGGATCTCATAGCAGCAAGTATTGGGCAACCTTCACAATAGGTGATGCTACCATCTCTGCCTGTAATGTAATTTGTGGATACATAAAGTAGTTTTTTTAATTAAATGTGGGCACATTGTTAGATGGTGGGAAGAAAAGGACAAAATGAATAAACTGAAAAAGAAAAGAAGCAGCCTAGATGAAAATCCAGGAACTAAATCTGAGATCCAGAGGCAGTTCAAAATCCAGATCACAGCACATCACTACTGTAATGAGCTGAACAGGAATATCTCATGTTTTGGGAAAGCTCAGATTCATATCTGAGGTAAACAGGATGAAGTTTAATAAAAACAAATGCAAACTACTCCACTTAGGAAGGAACAATCAGTTTCACAGATAGGGTGTGTCTAGACTACAGGGTTTTTTCGAAAAAAGTGGCCTTTTTTCAAAAAAAATTCCCCTGCATCTAGACTGCTGCCGAGTTCTTTCAAAAGCAAATCAAAAGAATGCGGCAGTTTTTTTGACCATGGAAAACCTTGTTTTACGAGGAATAACACCTTTTTTCAAAAGTACTCTTTCGAAAAAAGGTGCTATGTAATGCAAACTGTGCTTTTTTGAAAGAGAGCATCCACACTTGCTTTTTTGAAAGTACTGGTTGTAGTCTATATGCTCTTTTTCAAAAGAGGCTCGCAGTCTAGACGTAGCCATACAGAATGGGAAGCGACTGTCTAGGAAGGAGTATGGCAGAAAGGGATCTAGGGGTTATAGTGGACCACAAGTTGAATATGAGTCAGCAGTGTGATGCTGTTGCAAAAAAAGCAAACATGATTCTGGGATGAATTAACAGGTGTGTTGTGAGCAAGACACGAGAAGTCATTCTTCTGCTGTACTCTGTGCTGGTTATGCCTCGGTTGGAGTATTGTGTCCATTTCTGGGCACCGCATTTCAAGAAAGATGTGGAGAAATTGGAGAGGTCCAGAGAAGAGCAACAAGAATGATTAAAGGTCTAGAGAACATGACCTATGCGGGAAGGCTGAAAGAATTGGGTCTGTTTAGTTTAGAAAAGAGAAGATTGAGGGGGGTCATAATAGCAGTTTTCAGGTATCTAAAAGGGTGTCATAAGGAGGAGGGAGAAAACTTATTCATATTGGCCTCTGGGGATAGAACAAGAAGCAATGGGCTTAAACTGCAGCAAGGGAGGTTTAGGTTGGATATTAGGAAAAAGTTCCTAACTGTCAGGGTAGTCAAACACTGGAATAAATTGCCCATGGAGGTTGTAGAATCCTTATCACTGGAGATATTTAAGAGTATCTATCAGAGATGGTCTAGACAGTATTTGGTCCTGCCATGAGGGCAGGGGATTGGACTTGATGACCTTTTGAGGTTCCTTCCAGTCCTAGTATTCTATGATCCTATGATTCTACTTGTATTGTGAATACCCAATGTCAATCATCTTCATATTGGGATTTTTATTAATAACAGTTATTATCTTTCAGATTTGAAACAGCAACTGAGAAGCTACTCTGCAGAAATCATCTGTAGACCATACTTTTCGCTCACCTATCCTTGCCAGAATTTTTTTTCCAATCAGAATCTAGGCTGTTCTAAGTTGTATCAGTCTCCAACACTGCTACAGTGGCCAGGGATTGCTAGATTGGAGAGTCTCTCTAGATAGGACCCCTTAGCATTGACCACATCCCCTTTGTTGGAAACTGACATATCTTAAGTGCTTAGTCTATTCTTTTTTAAATATCCAATAAGATGAGAATTCTACCAGTCCTTTGAGCTTCTGAGGGACTAAGGAATGAATAAATGGAATGTCTTGTCTCTACACTATCTCATCCTGCTATTAGAAAGTATTCTAGCTTATGACCTAAATGGTGGCATTGCCTGTAAGCCTCCACTGAGTGGCTGTATCTAGACTACATGGCTCCGACGACGGAGCCATGTAGATTAGGATTATAGGCAAAGGCAAATGAATCTGCGATTTAAATGATCGCGGCTTCATTTACATTTACATGGCTGCCGCGCTGAGCCGACAAACAGCTGATCAGCTGTTTGTCAGCTCAGCGCGCTA